TGAAATTTTAGCGCCGGGAATATCTTCTTCAGTCAAAATAACCTTTTCTTTTGACATGCAATTTTCAGTCGCGATGGACGCCATTACTAAAATTTCTGTCCTTCCAAACAATCCATGCATGCTTTGCGGTCCGAACTCGAGCCCAGTACCCTGCTCGATATGGAAAAGGCGAATAGGGCAGTTTTAGAAAGTTTTAGATTGACGTTCACGGCAAATGTGTAACGTCAGTTGATCAATGAAAAATTCTTTTAAATAACTGAAAAGGAATCGCAACAAAATCCAAGTAGTAGAAAAACAAAAAAAATTTTTTTGTGATATGAAAGTTTGCAAGAGGTGAAGTAAAATACAGGAAAACTATGAAAACGTGGTCACGTTTGCCATTTGCGGGAAGAAAAAAAGTCTATCTAAAACTCTCTTTTGACAAAATAGCATCTTCACTTGGGATAGAGGAAGGCTATTCTCTAAAGAGCTCCCATAAAAAGTTAAGTATTGGCGACCAAATCCTTTAGGACTTCACCAGATTCTGTTAGGGGTCATGAGTTAAGTAGAATTTAAAAGAACCCTTTGCAAAGCACTTTCTTAAGCACCTGTTTTTCCTGTTTAACAGGGTATAATGGAACTCAGAGAAAGAGGAGGAAAGGATGTATTACACCCTTCTATACAGTATTTCCTAGGTAAGTTTGGTACAAGTAGGGAAACAGAATAGACCTTTTGCAATGGGGCTTGAAGTTGAGGTCTGACTTGATATTTTTATACAATTACTGTGTTTTGTCAAATCTGAACTCTTTTTGGAGCTATTTTTTTTCTTAACCCCTCAAGGAAATTTGGGAAAGGTTAATTAAATAAATGAATTTAGTGGTTTTAGTATACTAAGGAAAATAAGATGCTACCACCTTAGTATTATTGACAGATATCATTTAAAAAAAGTTTATATGGCAGTCATTGCTGTTTATGGTCAGTTCGTATTGTGTTAGTTTTAATTGATATTGGTTTTTTTTCATTTTCAATTGACCTCAAAATTGTCTTGGATGAGAGGCTAACACAAAAACAAAAGAGAAATCGGACTTTTCTTAATAGACTGTTTTCTCAAGGTTGCGTGCGCATCCAACTTGACGGGCCACAAAACTGAAAAACGCAAATCCAGTAAATTTGAGAAGCCAGTTTTATATTTAAAGAGGAGAATAATTATTTTATGAATTCTTATTGAAAAAGATTTCATAGCAATGCATGATAATGCTCATCATAAAGCTCATGTTCTGGTATTGTGGCCCGTCAAGTTCCTTAAATTTGGGTGCGCACGCAACCTTGAGAAAACATTCTATTTATGGAATTTGTGGCATTTCATTTGTATTTCCATTTTAGCTTGGTATTCTAGATAATTTTGAGAAGGTTCCATGTACCTAAAAATATTCTAACACCCACATCTATTCTACTACAGACCGCTTTTACATGAATAGGATCGGCATCAGAATGCTTATCACTCAACACTGTAAGTTTTACTTTTAAGAAGTATTTTGGAAATATTTCTTAATGTGTTTTTAGATTACTTTTGAGAAATGGTGTTTTAAAGTATTCTAGAATAAGAATGGTTGGCATTCCAATCTAGCTTGGGGAATGGGAACAAAATGATTATATATATGAAACAACAACAAAAAAGCATCTTAAAACATTAAATGCCAATTATGTTTGTAAACACCAACTAATGCTGTTATAAACACTACCCTAGTATCACTTTGTTTTCTATTGAGACTATTATCATCTTTAGCGTATATATTTCTTATTTATGCCAACAGTAATGTTGTTTGGTCATGAAGCAGCATTGAGCTCCAGGAGTAATTTTGTCGGCTGTTTTGAAGATGATTGTCATGTAGCTTCTATTGTGGAAGGTAAAGAAAGTAAAAAAACCATAAGGAATAATACAATCTATGTTTTCGAGTAGCGAGGGTTTGTTATGGTGACCTCACTGCAATTTTCATAAAGATGTGAACTCTGTGTTTGCAAGCTGCGCGTTGAAATTTGGTCTTTCGCTGCTGCCAGTCAAAAATATGAAAGGTACCAACTGATTAGGTTTGATTGACAGCAGCAAAAAACTAAATTTCAGCGTGCAGCTTGCAGACACAGAGTTCTCATGTTTATGAAAATTTCAGTAAGGTGGTTTCTAAAAATACACCAAGTCTGGTTCAGTATTTGATTGGTTTGACTCAGTAGTGGAAGATAGACTCATCACTGTTTTTATTGCTACCTGCTCTCAAGATAACAGTCGCAACACAGAAATCAGGCAATACACTATACTGTCATTCAAATAAATCAGACTGCATCATAGTACGTACATTCTACAATTTGTCCTATTTCTATGCCGTGACTATTGTTTCAATCAGTATGTAGCAATTAAAACAGTAGTAAAAGAGCTGCTGTACTTGACTCTTAATTTTGTCAACATATTTTATCGCATAAAAAAGTTTACGTACTTGAAGTTACCCCATATTTTCAAGCCTGAAGGCTATCTTTAATGCATGGGTGAATTGTCTAGGATCCCAGATGTGACGGAATTTTAAGGGTAATTCATAAACAAATTTTTGGGTTATTATGAAATATTGAAATTTACATTTTGATTTTTAGATGCTGCAGATAATGCAAGATATTTGTGTGAGCAATACTACTGTGCTTCTCCAGAGCTAGAAATAACAGAACACAATGGTAGGATATGCAACAATTACTGATTATTATTATTGCTATTGTTGATGAAATTAATACAGTACGCTCAACAATAGAATGCCATTCCCAAGGATGTACGTCTCATTGTTGAACACTATAGACCTTTTTAGCTTCATTGTTTGTTGTGCACATTTCAGACCATGTGATGCCACTCTTGCGAGTTGATTGTTTCATGTGTAAATATTTTAACATGTTCATCATAAAAGAACTATTCTCAAGGGAATGTTATGTGACCTAAAATGGGCAATTTGCATACGAAGCTAAAGAGGTCTAGCTACATATAAGAGTATGAATATTAGTGAAACTTGAACTTGTTTTACATGCCTTTTGAAGACTCACGGTTCTGGGGCGGAATATGCGTAGTGCTTAATCCAAACGTTTTAGATCTGCTATACAACTTATTTTTTAAAGTATGATCATAAATCGCCCAAACACCATTGTGATTAACATATAGTTAATGCTCATCTTTTAGAAAAATATTATTGACACTAATATTTACTTGTTTACCCACAGCTATTGATCAGAAATCACATGTTACATTCTCCTACCTTCCTGCTCATCTCTATCACATGCTATTTGAATTAATAAAGGTATGATTATGGGATTCCTTGAACACCTCTGAAGAAGCTCTTCTGAACCCTGGAAAATATCTTTTTTTTCCCTACTTATTGAAAAGTGCCTGGAATTTAAAGACAAAAAGAATTGTACTTGGTAGCACATGTAGAATCGTACAGTGTGCCATCACAGCAAAATAGTGGTGAATGCCATTCAAAAAGTAGATGAATTTATTTAGAATGTCATAGCAAAAAAAGAAATTTCATTGGAAAAAAATTAAGTGTGTTTTTCTGTGACAAGCTGAATAATTTCATCTCCTAAATACCATAGACAAATATTCTACACCTTAATATTGATCAAAGTGAAAACATGAAGTGCAGCACATGGAATGGAATGGAAAGGTCTTATAATAATTTAATGTGGGCTAATAGTAGAGCAGTTTTCATATAACTGGAAAAGCTTGCAGCATGTAGCTGTGACACAGTAAAGCATACACCAGAACAGTCACATTGTGTGAGTTTTTTTCTCTCCATCCAATCAAATACCTGGAACAGTGCATGAAGGTCACGTGACACAGTCATGTCAAGGTCATGGCACTGCCTAAGTATGACTGACCAATCACATTGCGTGAAAAAAAATCAGCCAATCAGAATTCTAAAAAACATGGTTGTGTCAAGGCATACATACAGCACTGAGCTTTTCACAGTCATACGAAAACTGCACTAATAATGACTGTATAGTGTTTATTTAATAATATTATTTGAAGCCAATAACTATAATGAACCAAAAATATATAAAGAAATCTGCTTTTCCACATACAGATTGAAATATCATTTTCTTTTTGTTTTTGTTTTACAGAATGCAATGAGAGCAGTAACTGAAAATTACTCCACAAGTGTTGAGATGCCACCAGTACAAGTATTAATTACAAAAAGCAAGCAAGACCTTACCATAAAGGTAAGCTTGAAAATAGATTTTAAAATAGATAGATGGGTCTGGATATGGGGAGGTTTTTCATTATTATGGTATAGATAGGTGTCCTAAATTAGTTCACATTGTACGTAAGCTAGAATATAGACTCATTAATAAAGTTATTATTGTAAGCAGTTATGGTTACATAATTAGATCACAATAGTTCTCCACCACTTGTAAAGCTGATTTCTTATTAATTATTAGCTATTAAATAAGGTTATTTTATTTCCTGCCATAGAAAATTTGATAATAATCTTATTTCATTACAGATTTCAGACCGTGGTGGTGGAATCCCAAAATCCAGGATAGATGAAGTTTTTGAGTACCACTATTCCACTGCACCTCAACCATCAGCGTCAGGACATGTTGCTCCATTGGTAAGTATTGAGTAATAATGTGCTAACTATTTAGTAGTATCACAATATTCTTGTGAGTTTGATAGGGAGAGAGAGCTGCCAATATAAACCCACATTATCAGAATTACTTTGTGATAGAAGAATCATCTTACAATACTTATTTGAATTTTGAGCCGCCAATACAAGTTTATATTTAAGGTAACTGCCTACTTTTGGAAAAAAATTTAAACTTTGATTCCAAATCTGGAAAGAAAAATTGGGTGTCCCGAGCTTGTTTTCGAGATAATAGAGCTTTTGGAGCAAAAATTGCACCACCGGAAGTGATTAGGAAAAAAAATGAAGATTCATAAGATAAAAGTAGTTATTTGCGGACTCTATGATTCCACAAATGAAAGCTAGTTAATCATTCTACAATAATATGTGGATATTCTCAACAAAAAGATACATTGATTTGTCATATTTTGTAGTTTTGGTGCTCTTAAAAAATCTCATAAAGTCAAACAAAAATCCCTACGAAAATCTATTTTTTATGTGTTAGAAAAATTAGCTTTTTCTGAAATGTTGATATAGCCTAGATTTTTAGGAGTTTTTTCGAATAAGCTATTAAAAAATAGAGAGTCCTGTGCAAAATTTGAGGGTTTTACCCTGGGTTGAAGGTCAAAACACATATAGTTCTTCAATAAAATCTTGTAGATTTTTCAGCGGTTTTTGAGCACGTGCACATCGTGGGCTTAAATTGAACGTTCAAAAGTAGGCAGCCACCTTAAGGCATTGAAAGAAGATTTATAATACTCTTAAATCTGATGTAAACTTAGATCTAATGTAAACCTTCCTAAATGTGTACCAACAGGCAGGTTATGGGTATGGCTTACCATTATCAAGACTCTATGCCAAGTACTTTGATGGCGATTTACAGATTTATTCCATGGAAGGCTATGGTACAGATGCCATGATCTGGCTCAAGGTAGGATGTTTCTGAAATGACACTTATTTCTCACTTATACACACCTTTCAATTAATGGTTTATGCTACTATGTCACTCAAGGATGACCAGTCTTTACAAAACTTTGCAATACTATACAATATGACAAAATTACCATGTGACAAATTTGATAGTAAACTCCTTTAAATTCTGATAAATCAAATAATTATTATATTGTAATATCAGGCTAGCATACTTTAACAATAAGACCTGCAGCCTCTAGATTGTATAGCCAATACAACATGACCACTCATGTTATAAACATTACATAGATCATGAGGGAGAGAGGCCTAATTGTTTTAGTTTAAACCTTCTAGCTAATTGGTCAAACGTAATTTAAAAAAAAAATTAGGTTGAAAATGGTAGTTACCTTGTGTGTACATTGTATATGTATACACCTAATTAAAAGACGTTGTCATCGCCAAAGGCCAAAGGCGATTGGCGAAAAGCAATAGCATATATGTCATTCCAAGATCCAAGAATAGCTTGAATGACTTGTGTTTCTGCTTCATATTCTCGTCAAGAGTATGGACCTTAGTGCTGAGACTGATTCGATGTTCTTTGCATTCAACGAAACCATTTCCATGTTGGAATGACCTATCACCTATCGCCTTTGACTGTAATGTTTTTTTGAATTAGGTGTATGTGACATGGAAACTTGCTAATGAAAAAAACAACCATTTTGAGTCTGTAAAATTTTAAATTATTTTTCTTCAATCCCAGGCCTTATCAAGTGATGCAAGCGAAGTGTTACCAGTCTACAACACAAGAACTCCAAAGAACTATGAAGAAGTCAAAGGATTCAATTATGCACGTGATTGGAGTTCCTCAAAATTTTACGGCAGAAATGGGACCCATAGGTTTCTTTCAACCATCAACTCAAGACAACATATCTGCAACAAGAAAAGCCATTGATGCTCAAGAAAACAAAAATTACTAATACTAAAATGTACATAACATAAGGTGTTGTCAGGTTTTAGTGGAAAACAAATGAATAAGCTTTAAGAAATTAAAGTTTTTATAAAGAGAAAACTATAACATAAGTTTATAGGAATTTTTCCCTTTGAATTCTGATTCAAGCTTTATCACATCTTTATTTAATACTAGAATTATTATTTACTTTGCTGGAAATAATGGAAACCAAATGGAAACCAAATACTCAAGACAATAGAAAGATAAGACTTTGTGTATTGTTACTAAAGCTGTTCCAGTTGAGTGATAGTGACTAATAGTCGCTAAATAAAAACTATTAGGTAGTAACTATTTAGATTATATTTCATGGATATAGTGTAAGCACTCTAGCACAAATATACTTCTTATAGTTATTTAGGGGGGAGTAGGGGAGGGGGGATGGCCATATAAGATAGGATAGAAGGTTGACAATTCGTAAAGGTTTAGATATTTAAAGTCCCCCATTAACAGGTGACCCTATATCCTCAAAATGACAAATGGAAATTTTTTTCTGTTCATGATTATGATCATTATTATTAAATGAAAAAGGGCAATATTATTACTTCAATTTTAGCAAGAAAAATAGGTTTTTGTTGAAAATCTGTGACTCATTAGTATAGGAAATCGCACGATCTCGAGTACAATTTGGAAATTAATAGACACGAGTAATGTTTTGTAAGTTCTTGTAATTGCACGAGCCTTTAGGCGAGTGCAATTAAAGAACTTTCAAAACATTACGAGTGTCTATTAATTCCAAATTGTACGAGAAGATCATGCGATTTTTTGTTTATAGTTCACTCAACAAAATTTTAGTAAAAAATGCGAAGCGACGCCGTTCATCTTTGTCTATTTGGCGGCCGATTTTCAGTCCATCGCGCAACTGAAATGCATAAAAAAGATTAGTTCTTACGGCTTTAAAATTTTATTTATGCTTTTTAAGTACAAAATGATAGAAAATAACTGTTTTGACATTGTTTTGGCCGTGTTGCCATAGCGACTTAATTCGGTACTCCTACGGAGTACAATTAACGCTATAATTGTACTCCTCTCGACCAATCAGAGTCGAGTAATTTTGTTGAGTGTACTATAAGGAATGAAATTTCAAACATCTTGCCATTTTATCCATACAATCTTTATAACATATTTGATTTTATATTTTTAAATTATTGATTATTATTAATTGAATAAAATGCCATTTTTGGAGTTTAAAAATGTGTTGCATTGTGGGACTGTTTTGAGTGATACTTTATAAGTCAGTCGACATTTCATGCACCAAGAAACACTGAAAAGAATATTTGAAAATTAACAACTTTTACTGTGGTTTTCAATATTCTGCAAACTTGTTGTGAATAGCACAAAGATGGTGTTTTTTGCTGCCGTCAATCCAAAATAATAAGTCAAAAACTTGGTAGTTGTGAGCTGCACACACGTTTCTTGCTGCCGTCAATCAAAAATCATGTCGGTACCTTTTATATTCTTGACTGGCGGTAGTAAAAAAAAAAACGATTTCACGACAAGCCATTGAAATGTCTGAGTTTGCAGAATACTGGTCTTAAACAGCGGTAAGGTTTCTTATCACTTTCCGCTATTAGCAAGCTATAAGCCTTTTCATAGTTTAAGAATCGATTCCACTGCGCATGCGATTTTATCCCGAATTTCTCACCTTTTGTCTAAACCTTCTTTTGTTCTTAATTAAACAAAAGAAGGTGAGAAATTCGGGATAAAATCGCATGCGCAGTGGAATCGATTCTTAAACTATTAAAAGGCTTATTGCCGACTCGACACCATGCATATAAGTATTAAAGTGCCCCCTGAAACATCCCATGATGCATTGCATTCTGGAACTCTAGGAATGCTAATAGTCTACATTGCATGTAACCGGTTAGTGAAAGTTGGCCGTTGTAAAGTGCATTTTTAGCATCCTATGACAGTTTGGGGGAAAACATGTTAGCACAACAGAATTTTAAAATGTTAATGCTTTTGATTTAATTTAATCTAGGCATTATTTTCTAAGTTCTAAATCCTAACTTAAAACCAATGTTAAGTAGTTATTGAAGTAATTTAGGAAGATATATGTTGATTATTTCAATTAATCGGGATGTACTGAGGAAATAACTTTAAAAACTGGAAAATTATTCAACGTCAAGATTAGTTTAATAATTAAATTGAAGTATAAGAAATTAGAACGAGGTTTTGATAAGTACTGAATGGAGGGTAAAGCTATGAGAAGGCCTACACTGAATGAAGATGAGCCTGGCTCTACAACTGGGTGTGTCCTACCCCAGAATCTCACCCCATTGAGAGGCCTGTTATAAATAAATAAATTAACTTTGTTTATAGAGGATAACACTTGACAGTAATTCAACTGATTAACTCGTGGTCCTCTCTTAACGTCTCTAGCTAATTAGGGACGGGACCGCTATTAACTTGGTCATCCGAACCACAAAAAGGTCTAGCAATTTCCAGGTGTCATTACTAAGGCAGCACCTTCTGAAATGTCGACCCCACGATATTCGAGAAACCGTTGTTAGCTTTAATTTATCAGTAAGCCAGCGATAAATCGTAATTGGAGAATATTGTTAAGTCGGGTGTTTGTTTTGAAACCTGTTGACTTATTTTAAAATGTTCCTCATAATTTTTTAACTAAGTAATTTCTCAAAGTAATGGAACTGTGCATTTTTTAATTCATCTCTTGTCAAATTGGCTTAATTTGAACCGAAAATTTCATTCCACGCCATTATTGTAACAAGGCTTTGTCTATTTGCCCCATGGATGACTCACAAGGCCTTGTGATTCAATATTTGGCGACCCCCTTTGGCCGCTGCATCGTCAAAGTAGTCGATTATAATACAAAGGGTCGATTTGTTTTCCTCATTCACAGTAGTGGTTAACGCGTGTGGTCCCAACTGCTGGCCATTTTCACATTACACATTCTACCTGGTGAACAAACTGTCATAAACGTTCCTCAACTGCATGCACCCTATACCTGCTTATATCAGTTCATTCCGAGTTAATTTCCCACGTTCAGAACATCAGGACGTTTAGTGTTACAGAAAATGTATCGATTTATGAATATGTGGTCATTTAAAATTTACTTTAAAGAATTCCTTAAAATTCTTTCTTTCTTTTTCTTTTTGTTTCTCATACATCTTTAAATATCATAAGACGCATTGGAAGCATGTTCTAGACATTCCTTATCTAGCATGATTTGTGCGGATTTCCCCCTGATTACCTCATTACCCCCTAAACACCGCAATATATTATGGTATTTTTAAAGGTTCATCATCTCCCTCCCACGAGCGTGCATTTCAAATTTAACGTTCAAAAGGTTACAGAGCAACGTAGGGTATAAGAGCTAAAAATTCCCTTTTCTTAGAGAAGAGATCAGTATAGTTTCGGTTTATGGGTTACAACAACTTTACAAGCGTGCATAGCACACTCCCAACTAAACCATTATATTAGTATTCGACAAATACTTCGCAGTGATTCAAAAAAGTACTGATTTTGCTGAACGGCAAAACGTCTATACCAATTATTGCTTACTAACAATGACGTGACTTTTTGGAGTTGACGCACTGGGGGTAATAAGTATGCAACGAGCATCTGTTGAGTCAAAGCATATTGAAATAAGTCCTTAAATTAATGTGTCAATCAAGTAATGAAATCACCCCAGGCAGAGGGACCCCTATCTTGCATTCACTTTTGAAGTACGAATAACTTTGTTTTGCATCATTCAACAATGCCTAATGCCGCTGATTGTTCAAACATGAGTATACAACTGGTCGAAAATAAAAAGGGGAACATAAGCCTGTAATTGAATTATAGGTTTGCGCCAGCCTATACCTAATAAATTTGATAACCATATTGTTGCGCAATTTGCGCAGTATGAAATAATTGAAGTAACGGCCATTGGTTGGTTGTCAAAACCGATTTTTTGTGGTCTATTCAACTTACCTTTTCTACCTGACTGAACTTAATTAACATCATGAGTCAACACGACCTCCCAACACTAAAATTGTCGGTTAAAAAGCCAATGGAATTAGAACTAAGATGAAGTGCTTTTAACAGTTAGTGTAAGATTTTTTCTATGGAGATGGAGGGCAATGATGATCCAATTACAGTTTATTAGCCACAAGCGTTACGATGATAGACAACCGATCGTTTGACGTCTTATGAATAACTAGACGCCCTTATTGGCGTTTACTCGGGCTACCTATGTCGAAAACAAAGAAGGTGAGAAAGTAGTAGAAGTGTGAAAGTAAAGGAGTGCAATCGGAGAGGATGTGTTTATGTTGGTCAACCCCGAAAAAATGAGAGGGTCTCGCGGGAACCGTTGTTGCCAGGCGGTTTGCTTGGTAAAAAAGATAAAAGAATATTGAGCATTTTGTAGGGCTAATGCTTTGGCATTTTCGCTTCCTGATCCAAATGCTTCACGATTGATAGCAGATGGTAGATCCAGTATTGCCTTTTGTATTATTTGTTAT